ATATCATATCATATCATATCATATCATATCATATCATATCATATCATCGTCCTTTCTGGTTTCCCTGGCGCGACCGCCGGGCTTCTTGGGCCGCTGTGGGGCTGGCGCGTGTGCGTGGCGCGCGCACGTCGTGGCGCGGGCGTGCTCGCGGAGCTCAGGTGGGCGTGCTGCAGGGCCGAGTGTTTGAGGTGGGCTTGAAGGCGCGAGCATCGCCAGACCAGAGGAATGGGACTGGAAGAGCTTACCACTCAATAGACACACTCACATTGGACCCGGGTTCCTCATGGCTGGTTTTTCCCTCTAAACCCGTGGTTTTCAGGGTCCATGTCGGGGTTCATGCGGTTCGGGGTCCATGTAAGAGAACTAGATGCATGGATGATCATGGATGGGCCATGGGATTTGCACTGACCCTGTGACACTGTAAACAGGCCAACTATTGTGTGGCCGGACCAAGCAGGATGCCAAAAGGTCGTGTTGAAGAACCTGGGGTGGGTTGTGGTTTCAGATATGTTTACTGTCAGTCTTTTTCTCGGGATCATTGAACCCACTAGACTACCCACTAGACTAGTATTTTCAAGTGAGTTGAAACCACCAACCAGTCATGCACAGGAGATCTTGGGGACAGTGGTGCTTTGGTGTGCCCTGTGAGGGTTGTGAGGTCCAAGTGAAGATGGTCAGTAATCTTCACCCTCGGCGAGCCTCACGTCGCCAATAGACGTTTGATGCAGTTTCAACCCCCCCGGACATGGATTGTAGAACCTCTTCATCAAGAATCTACATGGAAGAGGGCGTCCAAAAGACTCCATGTGGAACCCAAGAACCTCTTCCATCAAGACTCATTGTAGAACTACTCGGAGGAGTCCAAAGAACATCTGTGGGTAGTTGCTTTGCTGTTTGTTGGGGGGAGGGGAGGACGATTGGAGACTAGCACGTCGGTGGCGTTCTCATCCAGAGCCGGCCGTGAAAAAACGGCGGAAGGCCATGTTGGTGACTAAAGTAATTGGACCACGGACCATGTGGGGAATGAATGGAGCATTGGACAATCAACCCTGTACTTTCCTTCGACTGGGTGGGTGTGCTTTGTTTTCTTTTTACCAAGTCCATCTCACCAGCCCCTTTTGTGGGATCTACACAGAATCGATTCACAGTATAATGAGTTGATTCACGATTTCCTTCACTCTCACGTCCCTTTTTTCCCCCCCTGGTCGATTCCTGATCAACATCTAGATCGAGTTTGGACTCTCAACTCGGAGCATGGCGATCCAACGTCCGGATCCGACGTCCACAACTGTAGATCGCCCAAACACTCGGGCGCATGTCCGGAGCGCAAGGGCTGTAGCTACCTGGTGTTTGGTCATTTCTTACTTACTCTAATCTTTTGATATCTTTTGATTTATAGGACCAAACAAAAGAAACAAAAGAAACAAGTGTTTCAGCTGCAGTTGTTCTGTTTGGTCATTTTCTTCAAAAGGAACAACTGCAGCTGAAACATATTGACTCGATCAACATGAGACGTGCATCCGGCAGCCCCAGGTGGGCCCCTATCTGCATCGCTTGCTCCACACATATCCGACCTTAGCGGAGAGGTTAGCGACAATCTTGGAGAACAACCCAGCGGCAATTCAGCACATTGGCCGAAATGAGGAATCTGGAGTTTGCCTAGTTTTCGTAGGGTGATTCTTTGTTTCTCCTTTCAGTGCATCCTCTTTGGTGGGATTTTCTTCTGGTTCCTCAAGCAAATCCAAGTAATTAGATGATCCGCTTGAATGGCTCGAGTTGACTGAGAACATCAATCCGCTCAGTTTCAGTTGCTGTGGTCAACAGGATGGGTTCAGAGAGATTTATGGGTGCCGGAGACATTCTTGCTTCATCAAAGCGAGAGTCTTTCCAGGTAGTTAAGATGTTTCAAGGTTACAGAGCCGCTCGCCTGCACGAGTTTAGAGCCGAGTGCTCAAACTTCTACAGCTAAGTATAGCTAAGATATGCGAAGACTAGCTAAGGGTTTTTAGGCTTTGGTGGGGAGCTAAGAAGTGTCAGACACCCGTCTTCCCCGCTCAATACAACACGTGGAGGTCCAGTTCATCTTCCGGCGGTTTGGACCGGTCAACGGTCACCGGGTGTCCGAACCGGTCACCGCGGTTTGGCCCAGGTATGGGATGTTTTGTAGCCCACCGAGCTGTGAGGAGCTGCAGTTGGGTCTGGCAGATCGGTTGGGTGCAGGGCAAAGATGGCACACGAAAATCGAAGCGGACGAAGAAAACGAACATCCGTAGGTCCGTAGACCACCTGAAACAGCCTTTGGCTCTCCTCCTCCTCCTCCTCCTTTCTGCGGTCCATCCCAACTTGGGTATGGCTTGTAGCAATGGTCAACAAATCAGTGGACACATTACCCAGAAGGGCTATGTGTTTCCCCCTGCAACGCAGGATCTTCATGTATTCAGTCTACTCTTGTCCTCTTTTGTTTCAGAGCAGCTCCCCAAAGGCCCTCAAACCCTCCCCAAAACCTTCGTTTTTCAGCCATCTAAGACACCTCCCTCCCCAGATGCTCTGTGAAAACCCGACCGATCGGGATGCTCGACACCTGCAGACCCCTCGGTCTCCCCAGGTCTGAAGGTCGAAGCACTCGTCACCTCGTCACCGTCGGGGCGGAAAGACGCGTCGTTGATTTGATGCGGCTCCAGGAGGAGACGATCGGTCCATTGGCTCTGCAGGAGGTGCTCCTGAAACGCCTGGCGCGCTTCAGTGACGAGGAGGCTGCCTTGGCCATACCACGAGGACCTCGAGCCGGACGACGCGGATGGAGCAACCGGAGTGGTCAGCCGAAGATGGAGCAACCTCAGGAGCTTCCGGAGATGGAGACGGAGGTCCTGGTGAAGGAGACAGAGGTCCTAGAGATGGAGACGGAGGTCTTGGTGAAGGAGTTAGTGAGTTGGGATGAGGTGGGAAGGGTGGGACGGTGGCTGGATTTGGCTGGTTTGTCCCCTTTGTTCGGTGTTTTTTCCCCAAACAGTGTGGACACACTTAGGGGTTCTTACGGTAATAGAAAAGCAGCTGTGCTTAGATCGGTGTGCCACGCGGGCGTGTGCGGCTAATTCGCCGCTATTTACAGTACATTCATACCTCTCGAAATCGTCCACATGCATTTCGACGGCGCAGCTCACAAAATCTGCCCGCCGGCGGAGGGTGCTTCTAGCGACTCCGCTCTCGTTGTGGTGCCGTGCGCATTTTCGCACATGGTGGTCACTTTTCGTGGCAGGTGCAAGGGAAACCTCGTGTTTTCGTGGTCCAAAGTCGACTTTTCGTGACAGGTGCAAGGGATCGGAGCTGTTGTACTTCGAAATGCAGTTTTCGTGGCAGGTACAGTGCTTTGGACATGGTGGTGATCTTCGACGAGCTCTGATTTCGTGACAGGTGCAGTGAATTGTGACTTCTGGAGATATCGCTCATTTGCAGATTTCGTGGCAGGCGCAGCACTCTGTGACCCTCGATGTGCAAATTTGGTGGCAGGCACAGCACTTTGTGAACCTCGAAGTGCAGAATTCCTGGCAGGTGCAGCACTTTGTGAACCTCGAAGTGCAGATTTCGTGGCAGGCGCAGCACTTGGTGAACCTCAGTGCAGATTTCGTGGCAGGTGCAGGACTTGGTGAACCTTGAAGTGCAGATTTCGTGGTAGGTGCAGCACTTGGTGAACCTCGAAGTGCAGATTTCGTGGCAGGCGTAGCACTTGGTGAACCTCGAAGTGCAAATTTCATGGCAGTCACGGCACTTTGTGAACCTGGATGTGCAGACTTCGTAGCAAGCATAGCGCTTTGTGAACCGCGAAGTGCAGATTTCGTGGCAGGCACAGCACTTGGTGAACCTCGAAGTGCAGATTTCGTGGCAGGCGCAGTACTTTGTGAATCTCGAAGTGCAGATTTCGGCGCACGCGCAGCACTTTGTGCTCTCTCACTCTCACTCTCACTCTCACTCTCACTCTCACTCTCACTCTCACTCTCACTCTCACTCTCACTCTCACTCTCACTCTCACTCTCACTCTCACTCTCACTCTCACTCTCACTCACTCACTCACTCACTCACTCACTCACACACGCTCACACAGAGTGGGAGAATGAGTGAGTGTGAGTCTGAGTGTGAATGTGAGAGTTGAGAGTTGAGAGTGAGAGTGAGTGAGAGTGAGAGTGAGAGTATAGGCCTCACACACGCTGTTTGGGGTCTCTTGCCGGGATATTTTCTGGGCTGGTTTGGGGAGAGGCTTTGTGAGCGTTTCATCCATATCAACGTTTAACACTACTGATGCCTTGAGCTACTTGAGGATGGGCAACTCCTAAACTGACTAGTTGGGGGGTTGATGCTCTCTCTATCCCATTTCCTTCTAGCAGATTTTATGAGATCCCTGAAGGGCTCCTATCTTTTGTGATTCTCCACTTCTGCAAAACCTCACAGATTGGAGTGGACTTCGTGATCGCTGGCCTCGGACGCTGCGGCACAACCTCTTTGCATCAAAGCCTGGTATCGCATCCCAACATCGCCTTTACCAGCGGGGGCACCTCAGCAGAGGGCGGGGGGGCCAACAACGGCGACAGGAAGACGGCACCCACTTGAGAAGCGACCACCCCAAGAGTTTTGTTTTTTGGCGGGAGGGATTTGGGGAGTTCCAAGTTGGATGTATCGCAAATCAAACCAACTCAGGAGCCCCCCGCCAACTTGATGGATGCTTTAGATCAACTCTCAGAAATTGGTCTTCAAGAAGATTAGCGCTCCTCCATTCATCACGCATCATATATTGTATATTAGATGCACTGCTTGTTTGTGACAAAGAACCATGTCTGATTTTGAAGACCGCTTCAGTACTGAATGTAATGTGATATATGTACATATATATACAATTACATACATATGTACAATTATACAATTGTATAAATATATATAATATACACATGTACATACAATTACATTATATAGGCAGTTTCAAGACCATTCCCCAGACCCTCGTTTTCCACCTCATCAGTTATGATGACACGGCCAGGTCCTTCAGAGGACTACAAAATTTTTGCGGAAGGCCAGTCCAACCGCTTTCTACCCACGAAGCAGACAGCCCGGGCACTCCAAATCCGCAGCTCACAGCGCGGACAACCCGGGCTGCTGGGACTTCGAAATCCGGCGATTTCCTTGTATCCGCTCTCGTACTACACCATCTTCTTGCAAGAAAGGACAGGGTGGCTCCATGTTGTTCCAAGATTTTCACGCCTTTTGTCTATAGATTTCGCAGTTGCACCTGCAACTTTCCTCAAACATCCTTCTATCATCTTCCATGGGACAGTTTTGTGGTAACATTCCTTGTCCAGCCCAATGATTGTTACATCTAAATGACTATTCGTCTCATCCCAAAATATATAGGGTCCAACCAAGGCAATCAGATCAATGTGGCAGTGTCCTCAATGGAATTGTGTTGGTCAATCGCCTTGGATAGAGTTGCATCCAAAGCCACCATTGGGAGATGACCCATCTCACGAATCACCAAGTGAGCACATATTCGCCAGTCACTTGGGTTGTTCCCGCACCAAAAAGCTCTAAACTCTCTGGAACAATCGTGGAAGTGGAAAATGGCCGCTTGGCTGACCTTTTTTCCGCACCAAACAAATGGTTTTCCACTTCCATGATCATTTCAGGGAGTGTATATACCCCTTTGTTGAAGATCATTGTGGCATTGTGGTGAACATCGCTGGAACCAACCCTTCGATCCACTGCCAGTGGGCTCGGGCGAAACCCTCCTCACTTGAGCTTGGATGAAAAACTCTGACGGGCCCTTGGAGGATGAAGATGATATTGGTGCTGTGCAACTCACCTGATGCCAGACCTTTTGGGCAGTTGCTGGTAGTTAGTGTGTGTGTGTGTGTGTGCGTGTCCATGTCCAGCTGACGAACGATGGAGAACAAGACATAGGATCATGGGAGTAGTACTCGAGAAGGTCCACGAAGCATGAGTCAGCATGAGTCAACAATGAGCCAACATGGGCAAAAGGTTTTGAGGTACAGTAGCCTGCGTTTGGGAAGAATGTAAGCCCGGGACAGTATTTGCAATAGGACCACAGGATGAGGGATGGGTGAAACAACACATAAATAATGTCAATATAGCTTTGAGAGGCAGATGGAGGATATGATATGTTCAATGGGTAAGGGTGGAAGATCTGGAAAGTGGTGCAGATGCTTCTTGAAAGGCGGTTAGTTTTGCAGAGAAGAGTTGGCCCCATTTCAAGGGGGTACTTATAGAATCCTAGGATCACACTACTGACTACTGAGATCTACTGAGTATACTGGGGCAGACCCTCAAAAGCAGCCAACTGGTTGCCAATACTGTACAGACCCCTTCTCGTACAAGTCCATCCTCATGATACCAGGTCCCTGTCCCACGGATCACAGTCGAAACAATCACATTTTTTGAGAAAGGCCTGCAACCTAACCATCATCATCCATGGTTGCAGGGATCAATGGTATATACCCAACCAAAATGTGTATTTGTGTGATACGCGGTGGTCACATATACACAACCAGGATTCAGGATGACGAACTGCAGTAAGTCACGGGTGACGAAACGATCCTCGTCCCATCGAGGCGATCCTTTGAGTCGCATCGAGAAGCAGTTCATGTGGTTCCACTACTGTCACCCTGACGTGGAGGCGGCTGAAGCTCGAAAGGATGCCATTCCCAGAGTTCTGAAATCCAGGAATGAGCCCTGGCATCAAACTTTCGGCTTCATCGTTCCTCCCTGAGGCTTCAAAGTCAGCTCACTGTGCGAATTGGCACAGTGCTGCTGCTTAGCTCGGTTCGGGAATCAGCTCGGTTCCGTGGGTTTTGAGCGATGGAGTTACGGTATTTTCTTGAGATTCTTCAAGGCCGACGGTCCTCCCAAAGCAGCTCCCTTCATGTCATGCCACATCTCTCTCCGCCGTCTTCAGATCCCACCACTCATATCTTTCAGTGGATCCAAACCAAGAACAGAGTCCCAGTAGTTCGAATAAGGTGACCATCGACCGAACGAGGGCCCCGAGTTGTTCCTGGTTCCAAAGTGGTCTGTGATCCACCGGGGTCACGATCCACCTTAATACTTGAGGAAGTTGCCCGAGTCTTTCTTACAGTATCTCAGTAGATCTCAGTGAACCTGGATCTCGGATGTTGAAGTACTTTGCACATGGCAAGGGCAGGCATAAATGAACAATATAGCTGGTACATCGTGTCCGTGAGTTTCTGGATGGGTTTCGAGGTCCGCCTTTAGATGGACTCCCACATACCACATACGTTCCAGGATTGCAGACTCGGTGTATTTTGCAGTCCTTCGGTCCTTCGATTCTAGGGGACTGGGCTTTGAGGACTGCGATCCCAGCATCCATGCTTTGCTGTCAAGTCGGCATAGCGCCTGGCTCCGCAGCCAAATGCAGCGTGGTTGCGTTGAGTGACCAAGAATCGTTTGTTTTTTGGTGCTATGCAGAATGGTAGCCTCACAAGCAACAATTAGATGCATGCTCTTTGTGTCCAAACTAGATACGGATCTGTTTTCTATCCTTCACCCTCACCCATGATTTTGAACATCCATGGGAAAGGGGAGAGAGTGGATTTAGGCTGGCACGTGTGGGTATCTGTACTTTTTCCAAAGCCCGTTCGGAATGTACGATGGGAATCTGCGATACACTGGAATACACCTGCATAGAGTTCCTGCATCAGGGCTGCTTTTGTCAGGCCTAGGAGTAACATGTTTGATTGATCTTTCACTGCCTACTAGGGGCAAGATTGGATTGACAACGAGAAGACCGGCTACCTTCCCTGGAAAAATATCATCGCGCATTGGAGAGGAAGTGGTGATTCCCCAGGCTGCTGAACAAAAGTCCTTTGTGAGCCTGGCTTGGGTAAAACTCCCCTTCACAGAAGGAATCTTTGATCAACAAACATCCAGCAGATCAAACTTCTTTGGAGGATTCATTTGCACTTGCTGGAGCTCATCAAGCTTTTCCGCCATGAACGTCTTTTTGTCCTCCACCGCGCCAGCCTCAATGACCGGAAGACCTATTCGACTCTTGCTGAATGGCTCCAGGTTGGGGACCGTTGTCGGAGGGAACTGAAGAGTCTAAGGAATGAGACTTGCCAATGAAGTCGTTTGGATGAGTCAGGCGTGATCAAGACTTGTGTCAAACAGCTTCGGTTGTTCAACCTAGATCGATCACGTTTCACTCCAGCGATGACCGGCCCTTCTCCAACGGCCCGCACTCCCGCGGCCTCCCGCGATGACCGCGGCGCAGGCGCCCGCCTTTCCCCAGACGTGGAACCAGATGCGACGTGTGAACTTCCGCCTGGGACATCGCACGGACTTGTGCCACAACCAGACGCTTCAAGTGCTCTTGATCCTTGGCCTTGGAGGGGCGGAGCCGGCAGAGCTTGGTGATGGACAGAACCTGGTTTTCGACCAATGGCTAGCAGTACACAGTCAATGGACAGTTCACGGTATATTTCCAGGCAAAACTCCGGCAGATGATGGGCTTAACAGAATGATGGGCACCACCCTTCTGCGCTCCTGACCGCCACTTCAGGTGCGTTCCACTCTTTTTCATGATTCTGTGGAGTTTCATACCAATACATTAGGGTCATCAATGGGTTGTATGTATACTATTCCATACATGTATCGTTTAGGATAGTTGATGGATCCTCATCTCTCCTCCACCCTAGGGGAGAAAATATCAGTGTCCTTTTGCTTCATTGGGGGTTTTCCTCGTGTCAGTGTCGGCTTTGCAGCTCCAGACTGGCTCGCCAACTCACTGAGGAAGCGCCGATTGGCGCCGGAGTATGCTGCGATACAGTTTGTCGCCTGCCGTGGGTTTCGTGGGGTCAACGAACATGAATGGCATCGGTGGTGGTCATAGCCGGAGGCGGAGGAGGACCAGGGGTAGAAGATGGTAGAAGCTGCAACATTCCATTTTTGTAATGTAGCTGTTCATCCTTGTCCGAAACGTCTAACAGGAGATTTCGCACAAAAACGAGTTGTTTGCAAAGAACTTGATGTTGCGCGCACCATGAGGGCCCCACAGCTAATCCCAAGCACACCCATCTAAACTTTACTTCTCAAAGATGTCTATGTAAAAGGAAGATCATCATGTAGAACACGCCGGTGGCGCAAGACTATTGGCTGCATTTGGCTGCATCAGTAAGCGCCAGTTCCCACCTCTCTGTCGGAAAAGTACCGAAGAAACTGGGCGGAACATGGAGGCCGCTGGGCAGGCCTTGCCCCAACCAATCCGGCTGAGGTCATGATCAATCCCCACCCCAAATCCTTCCAAGTTCCTTGTGATGTTGAAGGGTTTGTTTGGCCAAAGCAGCGGATGGAGATCTGCAAGAGCACCGGGTTGAAAGATGATCGGAGTCAAGTGAATCCTAGAAGTTTGCTTCTGACTTGCTGACAAGAAGACTGAAGGCACTGTTCTATAGACATGTTGGAGCCATTCTGTTGGAAAATCGAGGGGAGACACTCATATTCCCCCTCAAGCAGGGAACCAAGGATCTATAGATTTTGCTATCAAAGACGACGTTGTTTGACAGCAGCTCTTTCTGCTGATGTACTCTGCAGAAAGTTCTGCCCGAACTCACCCATGAAGCCTCAATTCGGATGTTCGCCATGGTCCCCTTCGCAGAAGCTCGAGGCCTTGAGGTGGCAATCGCGAACCTTCCAACAACTTGCTGCAGATCGAGAGCTAATGCTGCACATCAGCCGGTGTGACAAGGAGGAGGAGCTCTGGTGAGCGGTAGATCACAAGTTTTCGGTGTCAGGCAGGGTCCACGCAACCACTGATTGTCATTGGGCAAGTCGAAGTGATTCTTTCAAATCGTTTATTGTTGATCAGCAGCCTCCCCGGTTTGTGACTGTGAGTTGTACATCTGTCAGGAACCAACAAGCTTGTTGTCCCAATGTTCCCAGAGTCCCTCAAGTTGAGAGTGACAAGCACTGTTGTCCTATTTGGGTATACGATGTGATAGGAGACAAGCCAGAATTTCCCTTCCAAGTGTTACTGCAGGTACTTTTCCATCAAAACTGGGATTCATCGGAATATTCTTCAGGCTCATTTGCTGGGACACCTTTGGTTGGGGGCCCCAAACCGGGAAGACAGCTATTTCCTCTCGATGTCCAAACCACTGACCTCTTCTGTTCCGCTGACCTAGGAGCTGGTGGAAGGCCCTTGTGGGCTCTATGACCTCGAGGAACAGGGCTGTCCGTACCTTGGAGACCGACGAGTGATGGTGTCGCTGTCCGACGTGCCGTTCGTGGAGACCCAGCGGGTGGCGGTGACGTGGAGGTCGGTTTGGGCCACACCGGTGGCGGTTTGGACCCCCAAATGATGCGCGACGAGCTGGCCCAGTTTGGTTCGGGATGGCGACGAATGAGGTCGTTCGGAGTCTGAGAGCCCTGTTTCGCGAGCCGCGAGCCGCTTGAATGAGGTCGTATTTGGTAGCATCCAGGAATCCATGAGGTGCTGAATCCATGGCTGCTGATGTTCCCTATACTAGAACATGCATGCTTTTAAATGTCAGAGCATGTCAGAGCGTATAGGGATGTCTTTTTAGCCGGGGTGGGGGGGGGCCCAGCATCCTCTGTGAGAAGGGAATCAACATACTTAGACCATCTTAGACCGCTTATACTTAAAATAGAATCTGAATGACACCTTCTTTGCTCCATCCATCCAACATATGGCCACGTCCGGGCAAGGTACTGGTGTCTTCCTGAGGACACCTACGGTAGACAACCAGTCATTTTAGACCTCTCCAAACGCACCCAGTTTGGGCATGTTTGGGCCATTCTCTTCCAAAAAACATCCGGTGAAACAAGAGGACGGAGGTGTCGAACATCTCCACTTCGGTGTCGGTGTCGGGGATGTTCTTGGACTAAACGAGCAAGCAGCCCAGACCAGACAATGTCTGGGACTGGAATAGTTATATACATGGCCCCAATGTAGGTAACTAACTATTCCATACATGCACTGTCTGGGTAGGTTCTCGACTTATAACCCTTAGTCCTTTTGGTCTAGAAATGATGTCTTACTCAACCACCAAAGGCTAAACCCTTAGCCAAGGGATGCATGGCCCCATGGTTCACCAGCCAGGACTTGGTGATGAGCATCTCTCCCTTTGCGCGCCCGGGCGCCGATTCGGGAGTGCATCAGATGCCAAGGCGCTTCGGGAGAATCGCTGCTCAAGCGGAGCATTGAGGTGGTTTTGAGAAGCCGATGAGCAGGAAATGAAGCCGATGAGTCTGGCGAAAGCTTGCTCAACCCTGGCGAAATTCGAAGCCGACGGTTTGAAAGGCCTGAAATCCGAAACAGCCAGGCCGTTTACTAAGGATCTTACAAAACCAGGCCGTTCCCAGGTCTTCAAGGGTCGAACGGAAGCCCACCGTGACCCCGTCGCCGCAGGGTCCGCAACGAGACGTGGGTGGTGCCTCCGTGGTGCCTCGCTGAAGGCAACCGGGTCTCCGAAGACTTCGCGCGCTGATCGGTGTGGAGCACCTTTTAGCCGAGCCTCAGAGAGATTTGGAGGAAGACTTGAAGATCTCAGGACACAATCCTGTAAGACTCATGTCTGACTTCTTCTGCTTCTTTTTCAATCTGTTTCAATTCTTTTCATTTCTTTTTCTCAAGTTGCAGTGTGTGGATGATTGTGTGGAAGTTTGTGCCAAAGTTTACTTGCTTTCAGTACACTTCTTGCAACACTCCATGACCTTTACCCGGGAGCCATGGATAGCTATGGTCAATCCTTCTGAGTTCGTCACCAATCAGCGGAGTTCCATGTGGAACCGTCCCATGTCACCTCGGTTTGAAGTCGCGCCACTGGTGGAGAGCCACTGGTTCCCTTGCAAGTTGCCGCCATGCCGGTCAACCTGAACAGCACTGGTGGCTCAAAGAAGTCAGTGTCTTCTCTAGCCGATCTAATTGCCTAACCACAACGGCAGATTAAAAACAATCCAAAAAAGACGGTGCAAGAAGTATATATATATATATTTATAGTCTACTTGTGGGGAGATCCTATTAGTATAGGAAGCATATGTGCAATGTTGAAATTCCCGTTATGTAAAGGTTTGAGCTGCCATGGCATCACCAAATATGTTGGCAAACATGTGGGGAGCGACAAGCAACCTTGCAGAAGAATACAATGTTTATCATTGCTAAAGACACAGTTTCTCGGGGCGATACCCGTAGTGTTGCTGTTTGATACCTCGAAAGGTACCAAGGTACCTGCAATCATCATATAATGTAGGCAACAGAGATGTAAGAGCACCTCGTAAGCTTTGGGTAGGTTCACGTCTTGGAACACCTGGAACTTCCACTATGATCAACGTCCACTTCGTTGGGAATCTCTGACCTATGGACCTATGGACCTATGGACCATCGATGTTGTTGATACTCTGTGGAGCGATTGGCAATCCTGAGAGTCGTGATGCTCCAAAAGACATATGAGCGTCGTTCAAAAACCCACCTCTTCCTTGTTAGTAATCAAATTTCAAAGGCTGTGCTCTCACTGCAGTCGCGAAAGGTTCGCGAAGGTCCTGCGAAAGGTCTGCGCAAGTCATGTTGGTGACCTGGCCACGCTGCAAAAACAATTGCTCTTCAGACTTCCGATTGCTTTTTCCCGGGTTGGGAAAAAGCAAATTCGAAGTCTGAACCATTTTGCTTTTTCCCGGGCCAAATTGGAAGTCTTGACCATTTTGCTTTTTCCTAGCCCGGGAAAAAGCAAATTGAAAGTCTAAACCATTTTGCTTTTTCCCGGCCCGGGAAAAAGCAAATTGGATGAGCCATTTAGCTTTTTCCCGGCCCAGGAAAAAGCAAATTGGAAGTCTGAACCATTTTGCTTTTTCCCGGCCCGGGAAAAAAATGAAAGTCTGCAGCTTATTCCCCCGCCTTGGAAAGTCTGAACCATTTTGCTTTTTCCCGGGTTGGGAGAAAGCAAATTGGAAGTCTTGACCACTTTGCTTTTTCCCGGCCCGGAAAAAGCAAATTGGAAGTCTGAACCATTTTGCTTTTTCCCGGCCCGGGAAAAAGCAAATTGGAAGTCTGAGCCTTTTGCCTTTTCCCAGCCTGGGAAAAAGCAAATTGGTAGTCTGGACCATTTTGCTTTTTTCCTGGCCGGGAAAAGGCAAATTGGAAGTCTGAACCATTTTGCTTTTTCCCGGCCGGGAAAAAGCAAATTGGAAGTCTGAACCTTTTGCTTTTTCCCGGCCCGGGAAAAGGCAAATTGGAATTCTGAACCATTTTTCTTTTTCTGGCCCGGGAAAAAGCAAATTGGAAGTTTGAGCCGGGAAAAGCAAATTGGATGAGCGGGCTGGATATCCAGTTTGCCTCGAGCCTGAAAAGGGCTTGTTTTCCAGAGAGATGTAGCCTAATGGATAAGGCACGAAACTTATAAGCAGAAGGTTGTGGGCTCGAACCTCCCCGGTGCTGATTGTTTCCAGGCTGGAGAAAGCAATTGGAAATCTGTGCGGCAAATTGCTTTCGAAATTGGAAGTCTGATGCATGTTGCTTTTTCCCGGGTCGGGAAAAAGAAAATTGGAAGTCTGAACCATCTTGCTTTTTCCCGGCCCGGGAAAAAAGCAACTTGGAAGTCTGGACCATTTTGCTTTTTCCCGCCCCAAGCAACTTGAAAGTCTGAGCCATTTTGCTTTTTCCCGGTCCAGACAAGCAAATTGGAAGTCGGAGCAAACTGGCCTGAGCCGTCTCTGGTTCATGGGGGGTTGCTCCCAACCAAACCACACCAAAATGAAAATGGCTTGGTTGGCTGGCTTCCTGTTCCTCAGCAACCAATGTGTCAGTGATCAGAGGATGCAAGACGTGCCAGGGCAACTGCATGAATAATTGAAAGCCTCTAGCCCCAACGAAAAACCATTTTCGCCGACAGTGGTAAAACCCCACGCGCGAAAGCTTGCGAAAGCTTCGCGAAGGTCCTGCGAAAGGCCTGGAAAAAATTGAAAGGACTTTTGAACAACCCCCATATGATCAACAAGTTTGGACCATCACATGTCGCGAGTGCCATGGCCAGATGCCTGTGCCATGGCCAGATGCTCCGAGCAAGATTCCAAGGGCCCCAGATCGGGCCATTACAGTCTATCAGCTGCGAAGCCTGCGGATTTTTTTGCAGCGTTTGTGCAAGACCGGGCAGTTGAAGCAGGATGCCCAGACAATCCATTGGTATATTCTCAACATGTACCACATCAGCGATTTGGTTCTTAGACCGGTCATTATGCACCTGCATACTAAGCGGAAGTGTGATGGGCCGCCAAAGCTGTCCTGGGTAGAATTGGTTGCCACAGGATCGCAACCACCCACCATCCTGATGAGCCATTCTTGGAGTGGCTATTTTCGAGACTTCATGGAAGTGGTGGACAAACTGGTGTCTGACCGAGGCTATCATCACAGGGTCGCCATTTGGGTCTGCACCTTTGCGAACTCCCAGTTCGGCGAAAACTTTGGCGCCAAGTTGGAGGCCAGCCCCTTTTACTGTGCCATTTCAATGGCTGAAGGTACTGTCCTGGTGGTAGACCGAGACGCTGGCTCCTTGAGCAGGATTTGGTGCAGCTTGGAGATCCATTTTACGGACAAGTTGGACAAGGACTTGCAAGTTTACACTCCCAGCGGGCGAATTGGATCTGAACTAGTAACTTCAGGTCCTCTAGTGGAGGCTCTAGCTGATTGGGATGTGACATGCTGTGAGGCAACACAGCCCTGTGATCGACGACAAATCCTGAATTATTTGGCAGACCCTGCAAGAGAAAACGACGGACTTGCGAAGGATGCGACAGGCAGCCTGAAGTTAGAGGATGGCTGGAAAAAACTAATGGAAGATGACTCCACGGACCCTTCTATAAAACGTGCTAATGGATTGCCAGAATATCAGCATGAGGCAAAGCTTTTCAAAACACATGGAAATGTGTTTTCCCGTTTGAACCAAACTGTTCGTAGCAAGGTCAGAGCAGTTGCCTGCGGTTTTAAGGAAAACAGCGAAGCTTCATGCAAGATTGCTGCCATCGAAGAGCGTGGGGTGCATTTGGGTCAGATTCGTGCGTTCTTCAAGAGCTTGAAGTCTGAGATTCGCCAGCATTCAAAGTTGAACTATTCCACTGCAACGACACGAACAATTGTTGAAGAGATCCTGGAGAAGCGCTACGTAGAATCTTCCTATGCTGAGACGGTCAATGGTGGGCCGGTTTGCCCGCAGTATAGCATTGAGCACCAGTGGGAGGGACGGATCTCTGATCTTGTTGCAGGAATCGAGTGGTTTGCCGAAGCACGACAGTTGAGTGACTGTTCCAGGCTTTTTGTCGATGTTCTCGCTCTTCGCCGTCACGGGAGTGTCACCGAGTGGGATGCGCCAGAGCAGGCTGGAGCAGTGGTTCGCTTGAATCGCAACACGGATGGTCGAGCCTTCCTGTGGCCGGGTCATGGGGTGAACATCAATCGAGCATGGTTCATGCATGCTTTCCACGTGGCCCGCAAGACAGCGAAGGTGATTGATTTTGTATGTGCCACTGGTGCCATGGCCTGTACGGTGCCCTTTCCCAATGGCTCGTGGGCATTTGGAACCTTCGATGAGAAAATTGCTGAGCAGCTGGTGGAACTGGATGCCAGAGAGTGTAAGGCCACATTGCAGAAGGATGTTGATGAGATTTTGGAGAAGTTGAGCTTGGCCAGAGGTGGTTTGAACCGTTTCCACCATTGTTTGCGCCGCATCGCGGCTGGGCCAGTGATCCGTGCTGCCGCCCGAGGTGGGAGTGCCGAGGACATCTCGAAGATCCTACGCTTGGGCTCAGGAATGGTCATCAACAGCACTTCCTTACAAGGCAGTTTGGGACATATGGCCACACATGTCGCGGCTGCTCATGGGAATGTGGCTGCTCTGGAAGCCCTTCTGAATTTAGGTGCTGATCCCAATGCGGAAGATCACATTCATGAGACGCCCTTGCACTATGCCGCCTTCAGTGGACATTTAGATTGCGTCAAACTACTTTTGTCCAGGAGTGCGAACACTGCTGCTGAATCGGCCTTTTGCGAGACACCCCTTGACGTGGCCATGGACAATGTGGCAGAGTTCTGTGGTGTTGAGACCAAGATGATATGTACACTCTTGGAGGTTTGGGATGCAAAAGACTAGCTTGTCCGGTTTGAAGCGCTTGTCAGATGGATAACAAAGCAGAACAAAGCAGTGCTGGAATTGTGCTTTTACATGCTTTTGCCCTCAAAAAAGGGCTTCAAGTCATCTTAATCATGGGAACCATATGGAACCATCCCCGTGCTCCTTGCTTAATCCAGCTCTGGCCCCACTTTTTGGGAAGACTGCTGGCTCATCCGCTCAGGACTCTGCGAGAGTCTGCCTCTTCCAGGCTTGGCACGAAGTCGAGCAGACTCTGTGCAGAGCGACGTCGCTTTATTTGTGTGTCTAAATCCTTAGCAAACGTATCAGTCATTCTTCTGAGGAGCGAGTTTCTGTCTGCAGTTCGTTTCAGTGCACATGACTTTTTGGCACTTGGTGCGAGGTTTCAAAGAAGCTAGCCATTCGTGACTAGATGCTCTAAATGAGAGAACAGTCACCGTGACTTGGAAGTGAACCACCGTCGGCAGGCCCTAGCTCTTCACAGACCACCAGACCCATGCAACGGACGTAACTCGGGCGACGAACGAAGCGCAGCACACAGAGGAGTCGAAACACCTGCCGCAACCTGCCGCAACGACCCGCGGTGGCAAAAGGTCCGCATGCGACCCGCGGTCGGACCGGTGAAGCATAGAGACTTGATCGGAGAGAGTTTCTTGAAAGATCCATCGTTTGGCACCTGTTTTTGATGTCAGGAGGGCTCAAGCAGATCCATGAGATGAGAAGGAGTTTGCTTTAGATGATGTTCGCCATCAACTTTTTTGGAATCAATGGCGTAGCAGGTGCATCTCACAATCAAGTAAACACATGCAGGGTCGACATCAACATTTTATGCAATACTATGATGAATGATTAGATGGACCTGCAGTCCAGACACGGATGCTAAACGGACATGTCTCTTTCTGCATTTTGTGCATCCTTCGACGCAGTCAACGGACAGGGCATGCAACTGGGAGTTTGACTATGGCAAGCAACCCCCATACTGTAGTCCAGTCACGTGCAGTCGCCCATGAAACTCGACTAAATGGATGGTGCCGAGGTCGATTTAGATGATGGGGACCAGAAGGAATCTCCGTATAATCAGTGGTATGGGTCGGACGTTTTCTTCTAAATGCACGTTCTTGGAGTCTACAGTCTACAGTGAAATACTCAAGGACCACCACCTTATTAAATCTTATTATAACATTGTACAAACTTTAATTATCGTACAGCTAGTACAGTATATGAATATGACTATTTAGATATATGATATACACCAATACATCACTTTACATGCACACATACATACATGCCCATGTTGATGTTAGCCCATCGCACGCCTTTTCGGGGAAGAAACACCGCCCGCTCCATGGCGCGCGCGTCGACTTGCGGATCTCGAGCGGTGAGCTGCGGCTTTGACAGGCAAAAGCTGCGGGTGGGTGATCTCCCTGGGTCCCAGACACGACAAATGGGACTGGAATATTTTGAAACCATCCATGGGGAGGAAAGACTTCTTTCTTGTGGGGTAGGTTTTGTCTGTTTTTTTCCAAACCATGTATGGTGTGTTTTCCGGCAAATAGTGTTTTTTTTTTTGTGGATTTGAAAAGACCAATGGCACAAATTCACCTCAAGTCTGGTGGTTGAAATGTGGACCCCCATCTTTTCAAGAGATCTTGGGGTGGTTTTGTGCCAATGAACCACTGAAAGCACTGTAGATTGATGGTTTCGAGGCAGAAATCTTCCGAAGCTGAGGGATCCAGTGGCCACTCAGGTTTGCGATCGAACCAAACAGATCTTTTGTGGGATGAGTCAGCAATGATGTGGAGCCATTGGGGTAAGGGATGTAAGGGTAGCCCACTAATGTGTTCAGGGTCTGCAATCTCAAGTGTAGATTGCTTGGATGGTGCAACAGGTGGAAAAAGGTAGCAGTAGCAGAGCAGTCACAATTGCCTTGGTCAGGCCTCGCACAGCTGGAACCGCTACGACCTGCTCAGAGGCCCAGTGCCGGCGAGGGTTTGGCCGAGGAATCCAAGAGGGTTTAGGTATGAATTCAATCCACTTCGCTTTCGCACAGCCATGTTCAAAGGTGGGAGGATTCTTGTGCTGTCCGAATCTGTGAAGACTTCAGATTTGTAGATTGATACACGAGACTGCCTTATGCTCGAGGGCGGCCAGTGGCGGAGTTAACCCGACTGCCATGAGCATCCTGTGAGCCATGGGTTCATGCCAAGCAACGTTGGATGGGTCATGATGTTTCTCATGGAGATCGTTGCGTGCTGCTTCAAGTTGCTTGATTTGGAGCATGGTGCAAATATGGCAAGGTGGGCAGTGGGAAGCTCCGCAAGGTCTCAAGAGGATTTTTGCAGTCCACTGAGCCCTTTGAGGCACGCAAAGCCTCCTTCTTGTGAAGGCAGGTCCCACGAATTCAGGTGATTTCGGATTGAGGCAAAGGCGCCACCACCCCCAGCTACACATGTTTTTACGTCTGGGGAACGCTCAGGAGACGTCTCTCGCCTTCGGCGATGAGACCGGGAGACCGGGCGATGCGGGGCTTCGCGTTGGGCTTTGCGTTGCTTCAGCTCACGGACTCGGACTGCGGAACGCTCTTCAAGGAACGCTCGGAGTTCGATTCAGGGAGAATGGGGTGGTGGTTTCAACAAACGGATAGTAACTGATCAAGTGGATCTAAGATCTACAACATGTTGTTGCATATTTCACGTTTCACAATGGTTGATGTTTCGGTGGATGTGTATATATGTTCAACCTTTACTTGGGAGGATTGTTTCACTCACTGACTCATAGTTTTCAAGTTGAAACCACCCAACCAGGTTAGATGGTTAGATGTCGTGGTTTGCACTTGTTTCGGATGGCCAGCCTGGCGGTGTGGAATGGTTTTTTAATTGTCCTTTCGAGTGCTAGTGAGTGCCTTGAGAGCCAGCAGATACAGATACAGGTATTAAGCTATTAATGTAATAACATTGTATGATATGATCAAATATTAAGCATGCGTTGGACGACCAGCCAGCAGAGGGCCAGCAGGCATCAAAAGCGGATGATGATGTGACGATTCGTCCGCCTGGATGATACATACTACCACCTTCTGTTCTTCGGTTTACCTGGGTAGCTCGCCTCGCCCCAGCCCACTAAGGCGGGACCTCCAGACAGGACACCCCGAAAGAAGGTCCAGGTATGTTATCCTCTCCGGGTTCACGTCTCCCGACCACTCCGGGAGAGCACTCCGGGAGAGCGCCCCGTGTCAGGCGCCCAAGCCCCGTGTCGGGTCTCGAGACCAAAGCACCGTCTTTCGGATTGGGGCATCGCTCCAAAAAGGGACCCACGGAACTCCACTGGGAACGCGGAACCCGCGAAACATGTCTGGCAGCCAGGTCGAAAACATGGAACCTCAGTCCTAGGACATAGAACCAACGCATCCAGGGTATGCTCATTTGGGTCAACATTGCAGTCTCCAAGATCCCTCAACCAAGCAAAAGTGGAACAAGTGGATGCAGCACCGGAGTTGGTGGGGACATTTTCACAGACCCACGTGGGTCCGGGTCAAAGATTTGTGGCCCGAGAAGCCTCATACATCTACTGCTGCTTCAAAAGAACTTATCACTTACAGCATCAAATTAAATCTGAGGTTTTGAAGGCCAGAGGCAGGTCAGGTCCTGTTTTCGGGACCTATACTACTGTAGTTGTGGGACCTCTTCCTCTTCGGTTTGAACACCCGCGTGGACGGTTTTGGACCGAAGTCAGCCTCCGCCGACGTGGACGTCAGCGGAGGTGGTGAGGACTTCGGTCCACCGTGCTTGGTGGGCTTGCCTGCGACCTGGCGCCCGGGAAAGCATGAGAATGTCAAGGATCACATGAGAGACTTGGAGCGGAACGAGGTTTGAGCGTTGGCCGCGGAACTTGGGAGTGAGTTCCGGTGAACCAGGAGGGGACGGAGGAGGGGAAAACACGAGGGTTGATTTTGGAATTCCAAAGGGAGCTGGAGAGCTGGTGAGGAGCTGCTGAGGAGCTGCTGGATCTCTTCCTCTATACATTTACCCAGCCAAAAGAGCTCCCTGCATCCAGGTCCAAAGTTTACTGGTGGGATGCACAAGGCCATCTAACCAGGTATCCACCAGATAACTACTTCCTGCCTCCCTCTTTCCGTTTCAGACCAAACGCGCTCCTGGCTACCCCAGGATCCACCCGAAACGCGCTTCGCTGCTGCCTGGAGCTCCCCGTCCTCGGCCGCGCCTGGGAGCTGGGCTTTGCCATGTCCCACCTGCTGCGCCGCGTCGACGAGCCGAACGCGTCGGCAAGTGGACCGACGGCGCGGAGTGCCGCGGCGGTCTTTGGGCTCTTCTGTGGGCCGAAGGCGCCATGCAGCGGGCCGCGGAAAGCGTGTTCCTTTTTTCAAAATTGTTATTTATGATCTATAACTTCTAATTGTTATTTTAAGATCTATAGCTCAATTGTTTATTTATGATCTATAAATTTTCCAAGATTTTTCTGTTCGATGTCAAATTGTCTTCCTCTTTAATCTTGAAGGAACATAGTAAATTTTGACGGTGTCTGGGAAAGAAAAAGTGGCCGGAAGAGGTTTTACGGCAGGAGAGGTTTCAAGATGGCGTTGACTGGGTGACTGGGAGCACTTAGTGCGGAGATGAGGGCGGTGTTCTTTTTTGGTTTCAAACATTCGGACACTATATGGCCAGCTGGTTAGGAGTGGTGCCTGTTTTGAACACCAGCATTTGAGAGAGGGAGAGGGAATCGACTACAGTGACTTTGGGTATTTTACCATTTACACGTGGGTTTTGGTCACCACATGTCGCCACCCCAAGCGCCAAAGCGCCAACATCACCACGGTCCAAAAGCAAGACACGGACACTATTTGGGGTAGGGACACCAGCACTCCGAAGGAACTGGCCGCGGGGGTGAAATGGTGGCTTCAGGATGTGTTCCCTTCGAACCGGCCGCGTGTTGGCCGCGTGTTGGCCGCGTGTTGGGTTGTTCGCACGAGGCCTGTGGCCCCAGCGAGATCGGTCCAGTGGCCTTGACACACTTCCTGGCCGAACAGATGCAGGTCTCGGCCACGGCGATGCCGCCGCTCCCAGGAGCACCGTGCGGCGGTTTTGGCGGCGCGGAAAGGGGTGGACATAGAACTGCAGGAGCATTTCCCTGCCTTTGCTTAAGGCTTAAGGTTACTTTGTTCCGGGTGAATCCACTTCTGGTTGTTTTGTTTTTCTCCCAGCTCCTTAAGCAAATCCTCGGCTTGTCCAGACGCTCATGGTCCTTGATATGGAGGGATCCGACCCCTAATATGGAGGGGTCTGGGGTCTCAAATTCCTGGGTTTTGAGCGACCAAGGGCTGTTTGGAGCATCTGGGTAATCATTCTTAATTGACTTTTGGGGACACCCTTGGAATGTGAACTTCACTTTCAAGTAGTCAATCTCAGATCTGTACATATATTGTAATATATATAATTACTGTTTCAATTATGGTGGGTTTTGTGAGTGGTTTGGACCGAAGCATGGAGAACCCCCTTCACCTACCTTCTTGGCGCATGCCACCAAAAGACATGTCTCTGCGTCATCAATCACCTCAAGCAGAATGGTTGCATCTCTCCCTTACTGTTTCAAGGGTTGCAACGGTTGAAACCATCCTGTCTCCATCCCAGACCAGACTATGTCTGGGACTGGAATAGTTATATACATACATTTGCACCAAATTTACCCTATTTATGACCCCAATGTAGGTAACTATTCCATACAAGGTTGGTCTGGGATGGAGCTTCCCATCCTTCCTTCCTCAGTTCCGTTCAGTCGTAGAGTATTTTTGCGCGCACAACTTCCTGAAACGACGATTTAGAACACCTCCCTGGTTTGGGTGGTTTGAAGGGTGAAATATGTTCTTAGATTTTCCACCTTCCCGGGGGGAATCCCTTCCCCATGCGGGAAGATGTTTTAACACCTCTGCCGCCTCTGCCTCCTTTTCTTTTTGCATTGGGTTTTCCGAACGGCTTCATCCACCTCCAGCCAGTCCAATCCGAGACTCCCATCTGAACTGGACCTCCACTCAAACCCGCACTCGAACCCGGAGGACATGAGATTGCCGTGACCGAACTCGTCGACTGGTCTTCGATCCCTTTGCACTTCGTGATCGCCGGAGCGGAGCGCTGTGCCACGAGCTCGCCGCTCGGCGCCGAGCTCGCTCGGCCCCGGGACGCGGCGGTCGGTGGAGAGAGGGATGGGCACCGTGCCGAAAGTGAGCAGCGGGTGCGGTTGGGAAAGTAGTCCGCACTCAGGGGATTCCAGGCAAACCAATATAGACTAACTTATAGACTATAGCTGGCAACGAGTGGTTCCAGTTCGACTAAAGCCAACTCTGCTTCCTGGTATGGCCTGGGATCCACTGGGGAAGCTGCAGGGCTGGAGGGTGGAGGGAGGAGTTTATGAGGCCAAAGGCTCACAAGACTAGAGGCTTAGATGGTTTTACCATGTTTTACATTAGCAAGGTGCATGATTCACATCCAGATCTCCAGGGATGTTCTGATGTGCTTTGGTGATGAACATCGGCCCCAAGTCGGTTTTGAGGCTTTCCTGAAAGGGTTGGGCTCACAGCATGCAAGCAGAGCTTCGAAGCGAAGCAAACCCTCCGGTGTGGCCAAGCGAACACGGTCCTTTTTTTTAAAATCAACCCAGGCCAACTGTATATAGCGACTATTCGCGCTTCTCACAGATCTGATTCAGCTGGAGTAGATGTTTTATTTAGATGTAGTGTTGCAGTATAGCAGCATAATGACATCCAGGACAGGTTTGGCTTACTAATTTTACCCCCAGCCAGTTGGGGGTTTTGGAATCATTCTGCAGCGTGTCCCATTGTTTGTCGGGACCATGCTGTAGCGACTCACGGGTTGATTGCATAATCGAAACATTTTGCTCAAACTATGGCAGTTTTCGATAGTTTTCGTGTATTCGCGCGAGCACCGGGGTGCATTTCCACAAGCGCTTTTCCACTGCGGGTGCATGCCATGGGCTGTGCAGCAAGTGCCAGAGCTTCTTTCGCGCGACAATCGGAGGTGGTCCCCTTTAATGATGCGGTGGGCACCACAGAGATCATTCCTTCCCCTCCGAATCCTCCGAGATTTGGTCAAGAAGTGGAGAGCAATCGCAGAACACTTCAATCTTTGAAGATTGCAGTGGCGATCTCTATGGAAGATCAAGTAGACTTTGATGACTCCGAACTTGACGTCTATAGGTCTCTTGACGTGCCGAAAATCGCAGCTCCCCGGAATCAGGCTCTGCCTCCCGGACGCCTTGAACATGAAGCCAACACCGTGCAGGTGGCGCGATTCTCTTCCGCAGCTGCAAGGAATCCCAGACGCTTCAAAGATCTTGTTCGGAGAGGCCGAGGAGTCGAAGAGGAGAGGTAGAGGAGTCGAAGCTCAAGGAAGGCCCGTTTGAGACGATGCGCTATTCCAATCTATTCCATGTTGTTTGTTGAATTGGTTTGCAATGGCTTGCCTCTTTTAACGTCTCATTTAGAGTCATAGAGAGCAAGTCACTTTGACAAACAACAAGTTTGTCCTATACAGGACTTGTCATATTTGACAATCATCTAACAATCAACACAGGTGACTATGATCATCTAAGAACTGGTTTTTGCAACAACACGTTGAAATCAGTTCTCTTGCTGGTGGACATTTGTTGCCTTCGGTCACCAAGTGACCGCCTTTTCCTGCAACTTCCGGACGCTTCCAAGCAATTCGATCAACTCTTCGACCGACCGGCGACCAGGGGTATTTTCGGTAGAATGTGAGAGATGTAGCATCTTTGGTTGCAGACTGAAGCCTTGGCTGACTTAAGTCAGGCTATGAGATTAAATTACCACATGATTGTTTGATGCTTTTTGCGATGTTCTGATCTGCCAAGAAGTGCTACCGAATCAATCACCCGGAACCCCTCCCGGTCCTTTTCCCTTCCTTTTCACGGGGTCTATGATGACCCTGCGCCAACTTGGTGCACCATCTTCGGCACGAGGGACGGCCCCAAAACGGCTGCCGCTCTGCGTTGGGAGTTGAGGGGATTTAAGGCAGGTCACAGATTGACAACAAGAGAAGTGAACGAAGAGGGGACGTGACTGAACATTGCAAGATGGATTTATTTGGCTTGCCATGGTGTACCCTGCAGAGTTCCAACCGCGAACATGCCCACTCGACGGTTGAACACTGAAGATCGCTAGACGCTATGGATTTGTTGAACATGAAGACTTCTTTCATTTCCTTCATCATCCGACCTATTCTTCCTTCTTCATGTATCCTTTAGCCTTTAGCTACAGGTTTGAGTGGAGACTCATTCATCCAGCCATTGAGTCAGCTGATAAAAAAATGCGAAGCCAGGTCATGGTGGGCTGACGCCTTGGAGTTTGCGAAAAGCTCAGCTGAGGTTGCACTACAACCTCTATCATCACCCAGAGATTGACTTCACACTTGGTCCGACTGCGGAGGAGGGGAGATGGAGGGGCTGAGGCTCGGTGCAGCTGGTCGGATGGACCCAGTGCCAGCTCACACTTGGCTTTGTTGGGTGGTTGAGAGGAAAGGGACGGCAGCAAGCCAGATTGCATGCTTTCGTAGGTGGCGCTCAGTTGAATGAACAAGTCGTTGGGATCAGAATAGATGAACAGGTTGGTCTACTGCCCGAATGAGTTCCTCAGACTGCTTCTCCTTGTTCGTTTCTTTTTCTTCTTCTTTCTTCTTCGGGTCATTTCAGTATCAATCAATCCAGATTATCACCGCTCCTGGCCACTCTTCAGGACTACAGTATCTTCATGCAGGGGCAGCGAAACAAGTTGGTCCCAACCCGTGCGCAAGTGGAAAATCACGTGGCACAACGATCCACGAAGAATCAGCAACCATCCATGGGCGCCAGCATCATGGGCCTGAAAAACCCAGTGATTGTGACTTATCCACTCTCCTACCATGCCATCGCGGAAATGAGATCGACCAAGACCCGTGGTGAGAATTTGCTGAAAGTCGTTTTGTTCTTTTTTCCTCAGCGTTTGACTTGGGTCCCCTACACTGGCTTGGACCCTATATATTGAGTTGGGCCCCCTACACTAACTTGAGCCCCCCCAATACTGACACTTGGGCCCCCCACACTGACAGTCCTGAAACTTTAAGGACCATCTTTAGCCGAGCCGCCTAGCCAGGAAGTACGTGTCTCATCTGCAAAACCTTTTTTTTTTGGGGGGGGGATTGGGGGCACCGGATTTCCGCGGTGAAATTGAACAGCTGGAGTTCGCTCTGTTCAGCTGAACATGAGGGAGTCAGAATCTATCCACCACCCCTCAAAGCTTGGGTGCGTTTTCCCAAGAACTTGAGGGAGAACTTGAGATAGTGGAGACTCTTTTTGGTCACAGTTATGGGGAGGCTTTTGTCGAGTGGGCTCTCGTTGTCACACAAACCACCAACGAATTGATCCGAATCGGGACGGACGTGACTTGCTTGAACGTTTCATTGGCTAACTCTGCCAAGAAAACGGGGTGCGCAGATGGGAATTCACCCAAAACAGTCTACGGCATAATTAAATACTGAACTAGTTATTATATAGATTTATATAGTATATAGTTCTCTTACCACATCTGACCACAGCAACCCTAAGTTCTATAGAAGAGTGATTCCTCTTCCTTTTTGGATCTATATCCCTATGGATCCACATACCTTCTCAGAAGGTAATTGGACCCTCCAAGCCTACACAAAAAGTCTCCAATCACCGTACCTCAGCTTCGGTATGTGGATCCATAGGAAAGTCTCCAATCACCGTACCGACCTGGTTCGGTATGTGGATCGATAGGGTATGATCTTCCGGATCTGCTGTCGAACTTTCGAACTTCAGGATGATCTTGGTGCTTTGTGATCCCTTGCGACGCCTGGAGACACTTGGCGGACCGCCAGTGGCCGGACGAGCACTTGGAAAACGCTTTCCTTCGGCGTCGGCTTCGCCGGGCCGGGATGGACCGTGGTCGGAAGTAGGGAGGTACCGGATAGTATGAGGGTTTGGAGTTTAATGGCAGATGGAGAGCTGGCACGGGCCTTGTTGGTCTTCTTTGTTGCGGCATTCGGGATGTTGGACGATCGACGTTGCGCCACGATCGAGCGCAACGCGCCACGATCGAGTGCTGCCAGGAAGCTCTTCATGTTTTGGCAGTTCTGTCACCACGACCTGCAGGACGCTTGGCGCCGGGGGGGACGCTGCGCGGCCGAAGCAAGAAAGGCGGGAATGAGGATGCTGAGGTCCTATATCTAGGGCTAATCCTAAAATCAGCAGCCAAACAATACCATCTAATACCCTGTTAGAAGGTGATTGGAAACATGTTTAATCATTTCTACATAGGCATGGGGGGGGTCCAAGTACCTTCTGAGAAGGTATGTGGATCCCTAGGGAACTACACTTCAGGATTTGCTACTCCTAAAATGATTTGGGAAGGCCCAACAGCTGTCCAACATCCTAAGGGCTTTTCTAAACTCCACTCCATTCGCTCCATTCGCACATCTACCGTTAAATGGAGCAGTTGCCTTTCATCTACCAAAGCATGCCGCACAAGAAACCGATGGTGGCCACCAACGCCGCCCCAAAAGATAGACTCTGAACCTCCAAGTTAACCAGACATAGCCAGATCATCGCCAGATCATCCGTCATCGCCAGATCATCCGTCCGAGTCTGGGTGGGTGGCTCAGCCGGATGGAACTTTTTTTCCGGAGGAAACAGAGAGGACCAATGGCACGTTTGGGCCCCCAAGTTAGTTGGTTTGTATTATATGCCCCCATCTTTTCAAGACATCTTGGGGTCTGCCATCTACTCTGAAACCACTGTATATATGTTGGGCTTTCTTCATCGGAGGTGCTATAGCAGCATCGGTGCCTTGCTCACATGGGAACTACAGCCGTGGCTGAGAGCACAGTTCTTGGCTCCCCACTTGAAGGCGCGGGAGTCTTCCATCCCAGGTGAAACACACTTTGGCTCGGTATGTTTTTTTGTGACACGAAATAGGCTTGGCCACGACCTGCTCAAGCTGCGGTTATGTGTGGTTCGGCTTTGTTTGGGAGGTGATGTGAATGTCGTGGGACTCCACATCCAGACGGAGAGTACGGAATACGGTGGCTCCGGACCAGGCTGAAATGAACACCTAAAGACCTCGCAACTTGCAGACATGCTTTCCGTGCAGGCTAGTGGTATATCAATGTATATATGCACATAGCATGTCACCCCCAACAAGCATCCTGACTTTTGCGATCACAATGTGCTCTCAGCCACACATTGTGATGGGTTGAGCGATGGTTTTGGGGTCCCTGGTCCCTCACCCGTAGGAGGCCAAGAGACTCTTGTTTGTACCTGGACCTTCCCCTACCGCTCCTGGCCCATCTCCTCAAGATCGGTGGTTAGACCCGCCTAGCATCCACCCCAACCACCTATCCTGTGGAGGTGGGCCAGGAGTTTGTAGGGTTCAAAGGGTTACTCAATGGAGATCCATGGTCGGTGCATGGTCGTCTATTGGAGACCCCGAACGGAAGGCGCTGGTCGTCTTTCTTCAGTGTCCTTTCCGTCCAACGACGGACGACTCGCGTGTCCCGAGCTCGCTGGTGCTGCTCGGACCGACCTACCTTATAGGACGCATGCGTTGAGGTGATCCTGGAGATTTTCTCCACGCGACGCTTGCTGATTCTTCACCAAGCCTCGCTGCGGCGAACACCGCGAGAGACCTACGACCACGCGGCACGCTGGCTGGGAGCGCGCAGCGGCTTCAGCGCCGCGTACCGCTTCCGGCGCAGGCGGGCGTCGGTTCATTTCGCAAAGAGCGGCCAAATGGCGCTGAAGTGTGGGTGTGTATTGTAATAGGGAAATCCCCCAATGGGTTTTGGTCTATTTACCTTCTTCCAGGGTCTTTGTGTTGTTTTTTTTGGCCTCACCGGGCGTGTGTCAAGCATTCAAAGCAATCAAGTGCCCCGATGCCACCAATCCAAATTCAAGTAGAATAGATGGCAAATGGGAGCACTCTTGACGACTAAATCGTGCACGGAAGTGCGACCAACATGCCTGTTTGGCCCCAACAGTGAACATGGCCGGCCATAGATGAGTCATAGATGTTAGGCCCCCAACTGTCAGGCTGCAACTGCTTCCAACGCAGGAGTTGCTCCATCACCATGCATAGCAATGAAGCATGTGACTCGCTTGCCCTTTTCTTCGACAACACTGGCCAGCTGAACCCACAGCCAGCGCAGTCTCGCTCATGAGCTTGTGCAAACAGGAATGTCCAGCGGAGGTTTGACACACCAATTGTTTGAGAGTTTTTCCGAGGAACATCGAGAAGCAATGAAGATTCAAGGTTGTCCAGGTGTTTCAACGAACGAAACATCAATTGTCTACTTGGAGTTATTTGTAAGGACCTTACTTCTCACAGCTCTTCAGAGCTTTTTACATTGCTTCCCTTTGGGGATTTTGCATGTTTTTGCTCCCCATGTTTCGCTCTCCAAGCCCGGCAGAAGCCGCAACACATGCCGCGCCAGGCAATATCGCTTGGGCCACCGCACTGACTTGTGCCACAACGTTTCGCTTCAAGAAGCACTGACGCCTGGCTCGACTGGGAGGAGCTGGGAGGAACTGCCCTGCTTTCATAGAAGGCCCATGTGGGCACCAGGTGGGCACCAGGTGGGCACCATGTGGGCATGAAGTAAGTAGTAAAGTTCCATTGAGAGGCGTCCCACCCTCCAAGTGTCCATCACTGTTCTTGCCTTGGTCTTCCTCGAAGGCCTTTCGCCCTTCTGAACCGTTCCCCATTTTTTTCCGCCCGAGGAAGCGGCGCCTGGTGTTGGAGTACGGAACCTTCCTTTGGGCGATCTCCCTGCAGGCGGGCGCTGGCTTCCCGCAGCGCGAGGCGCAGGCGGAGCTTGAGGAGCACAGGTCCAGGTGCGATGATCCAGAGGACCGAGGAAAAAGGAAAGGTCAAAGGAGTCAAAGGGACCGGAAGGAGTGGATTTAAGAATGGGTGTGTCCTGTCAAGAAGTGGTAGGAATGGGTGTCCTGATTTGAGAATGGGTATGGGTGTCCTGATTTAAGAATTAAGTGGTAAGAATGGGTAGATTAAGAATGGTGAAGAGAGAAGTGGAATTAATTGGAGAACTGGCGAGGAGATGGGTACCAGGATCATCCTGTCTGGGTGTCCTGCCTGGAGGTCCAATCTAGCAGCCCAGTCTGGGTAGTCTAGCCTGGAAAATCGAGAGAGGATGACCCAGATAGTTTGATGAGTGTTTGGATATGTGTTGGGAGCTTGCTTCCGAGCTTTTGGATGTTGGACTTTCTTGGAGACCGCGCCAACCGGAACCGATGCGGCCGGGGTTCAGCCACCAGGAGCTGGTGCCTGGAGAGTGTGGACTTTATGACGAAGATGACACTGGCTGCCCGTGGCGTGGAGAATCTTTGGACCCCCCAAAGGAATGGACATCGGCATCTTTTGAGAGATCCAAGCTGTATTTTATTGGGACATCGATCATCTTCCGTATTCAGGACAAACACATGGAAAAAAACAACACCTTCGGGGAAGAAGGTACTCACGCCTCAGTGTATCTAAGATTATCATACAGTATCATACAGTATAAATTTACCAGGCTACCGCCTGCAGCCGCCGACCCCCAAGGGAAAATCTAGTGGCAGGGTCGGGTCCCAGCCCTAGCCTTTAGTTAGCCTTAGACCTTAGCCCTAGCCTTTAGCTTTAGCCTTAGACCTTAGCGCTAGCCTTAGCTTTAGCCTTAGACCTTAGCCCTAGCCTTTAGCTTAGAGCATTCCTAGGAAAATGCTGGAAAAGCCTTTATGCTGGAAAAGCCATTGAAAATCCCACAAATCCAACAGAAAACGTGACAAAATCTAGGAAAAATCAAGGGCATTGGCCGGGACCACGCCGCGACCAGCCCGGGAAATCCGACAATTCCAACACATTGTCACAAAATCTAGGAAAAAGCAAGGGTATAGGCATGAGTACAACAATGGAATAAAATAGGTTAGCAATAGGTACAACAATGGAATAAAATAGGTTAGCAATAGGTTCACAATTTTTTGGGGAAATCTAGGAACCCAAAAACAAGAGGAAATGCTAGAAAATTCTTGGAAAAGCATCCAGCCGAAAACGTAACAACATCTAGACAAAGCCTAGAGCATTCCTAGGAAAAATCAAGGGCATTGGCCGGGAACACGCTGCGACCAGCCCGGGATTCGAGCCCGGGACCATTTTGGACCGTGCTTATTTTCCCGCGCGGGCGGAGAGGGTGCCCCAAGATGTAAATCAATTGGGATGGCAGAATCTTGGACAATCCAGGTCGCAATCACGTCGCAATCACGTCGCACTTTGGTAGGAATCTTGGCGGATTTCCTCACTGCAACAAGGGTCCGGAGGGGTAGGGGAGGTAAGGTCTAAGTCTAAGGCTAAGGCTAAAGGCTAAGTCTAAGGCTAAGGCTATAAGTCTAAGGCTAAGGCTAAGGCTAAGGCTTAAGGCTAAGGCTAACATCAACAGTCACGCCTCACCCCACGGTGTGGGGTCGGCGGATAATAAGGATGATCAACCAGCAGTCACAAGACGGGGTGCCGAGCTTGGAGGTTAGGGGTGCCCCTGTCACATCCACTCACTGGATGGGACGAGCCACACCACTTTGTGACTGGAAGAGTGGTTTCTGGGACGGTGCAGCTGAGGCAGCGCGAGGGCTGAGGATTGATCTTCGTGTCTGGAACGGTCGACAGGAACGGTCGAAGGAGATCGATCGTGGCTGCGCACGGGACGCGGAGGCTGCCGAAGCCACGACGAGTTCGAAGAATTCCACGCCAGAGACGCCAGAGACGCCTGCAGATCTCTGCGGATACGGCTCGCGATAAAACGGGTCGCGGAGACGGGTCGATGCGACTTCGATCCGGCGATAAACGTGCAACTGGGATGTGTCCTTCACCTAAGCTTTTCCAGCAACGAGGTCGGCGAAGCAGGTCTCAGGTCATGTGTGGCTTGGCGGCGTTCTGTGTTCCAAACCGATCTGAGGGCTACCATGCCATCGACGGAGAAAAGTGGATCACCGAGGTCCACTCATGTCCACTCTTACTTCAAGGAAATACATATATCCCAGATGCTCCATTCACAGCCCTACTTGGTCCCTCAAAACCCAGGTTTAATGGCCTGAGACCCCAGGCCCCTCCGTATTATAGGTCCGATCCCTCCAGAAAAAACTAGCGTTTGAAACATAAGAGCGACCACCTCACCCAAGAAACAACACTTCGACCGTGAGGGGTGTGTGAAGTACCAAGTGGTTTTCAGAAGAAGGAAATTCGGAGGTCATAACTCATGGACACGACCTGCTTGAAACGTTTTTTTTTTACGCTCGTATCTTTTTTGCCACCCCCATTCACCACCCCCCATTCACCCCTTTTCAATCCACCACCCCAACCTACACGCCGTACACCTCGAAAAGTGCTACAACACCTCGGTGGAATCGGTGCGGTTCAACGAGCGACCTCGACCGGTGGCCGGTTCAACGGTTCGATGACCCGACCCGCTTCGACGGTCCCGAACGGAAGCTTTGGACCATCGTGCTTGCACCGGTCAGATGTTTGGGACATCTGGTCTCCGAAAAAGACATGTCCAACAAAGACATCCAAACCTATGTACCGGAGAGAAAACATCGTGCTGCCAGGTACAACCTGGATTTGTGACAAGGATGTGCATGTTCGGCATGTGTGCGCGAAGTCTTTCACGACTTCGATGATGAAAACCACGCTCCATTCAAGTCGCTGCCGGAAGGATTGGAGTTTTACCTCATGGAATGGAGCAAAGATCATGTACCTCACATCATTCAACAGACGGAATGACCTTCATTGAAGCGCTCGAAGCTTACATCAACAGTGGAGAAAGGCGACCAGCCCAGATGCTCCTGGACCCTCATATGGAGGGATCGGTCTCTCAAATAGAGGGGTCCGGACCGCAAATCCCTATGGTTTTGAGGGACCTGTTTGGAGCATCCATTTTCAGCGGTTTACCTGCTCTTCTGAACCCCTCCAGCCACGGGTGAACGGGACTGCCGACATCGCACGAAAAAGACCGAACAGGTGAGGGTGCTGTGGTGGCCGCATTGTCTCGACTGGGTGAAACGCTGAGCGAAATGGGGCCTAGGTCGACCCAGAAATGGTGCCTATTTGAGGCTCAGAGGAAGCTTGTTGTTGGGGTTCGGAGGTGCCTAGGTCGACTTGTTCATCTTCTGCCGATCAGTGCTGTGAAGCACCCCATCCCGCCTTGATGCGACCATGCCCCGATGCTCCCGTTGACCATGCCCCCATCCGGCCTTCTGAAGTGCTTGGTGCTGGACTCATGCAGAAACTGACACGGTCGAACGGACCCAAAACTGAGGGTGCTCGGAGAGACTTCTCGGCCGAGCAAAACTGCGAGGGATGTGCCGAAGCCATCACCTCGAACGGTTGCTGTTTCTTTCGAGGCTAACAGCTCAATAGCATTCAGGGTGCTTTCAGGAGATCCACACCACACCGAAGGGCATCCACTTACTTCTGCACCCAGTTGGGAAGATTCCCTATAAAACTCCAAGTACCTTCGTTTCGAAGGTGGGACTGGGGTGGGTGCCAGGAGGGTCCAGGCATACCTCCTGAGGAGGTGCGGCTGGACCCCTAGAGATTGAACCCCGGACAGCGGCGTTGGGCCAGGAGGGTGGTTGTCAGCCCTATCGACCACGCTTCTGGGCGAAGAAAACACGCGAAGAGTTACACGAAGTGGGGTGGTGAGAACCTGACCTCCATTCAGGTTGAAGTCCTAGCTGAAAGGATTCGGTTGGTCATTTGAAACAGTGCCATTCGGTTCGGCAACTTGCAGACCAATGGCCACGGAATAACGGTGTCTATCTTGCGCCTGTAGGATGCCCTTGGTGTCCGTTCCGAAGGCATGGTTTTTGAGAAGTTCAATCTTGGAGATTGCAGGATCATCAATCAATATTGATCATTATTGAGCATGAGGTCAATCAATATTGTGTCTCAAAAGGTGACGCGAAAACAGAATGCCTAGAGTATATATAGAGTCAAGCCACTTGCATCCATTGTAGGTATGCTAGGTACTCGTACCACTGTTTTGTCCCTATCGAACCATCTAGAATCCATCATGAAAAAATCGACAGAAAGGAGCGCCGTCCGGCACTCCCCTCTCAAGATCTCTTATTGGCTATAACAATAACGGGACCAATCCAGGAACCAAAAACCCGGAGCCCAACAATAACCTCAGCTCACCTCACAGCGAAAACCCGGGTATTTAACATCACCGGGTTATTGTTCTACCATATGGTATACCTCTCCACCTGTTATACCTCATGTTCTCCGTCTCCACTTCTCACCTCACAGGGCCCACGCTCCACTCCACCAAGGCTGGCCACGCTGGCGCAATGGCGACCGGCGACCGGTGGACATCGGGTGGATGGAAGTGCCCGCCGCCGAGGAGTGGCTTCGGTCCAAAGCACAGAACGGGGTGTCGGGGTGAACAACGGGTGAGTCATACTCAATGAGTCTTCTGATTTAGAAATGCGAGGTCAATGACGTGAAGTCATAAGTGAAAGGTGTTGGGGTGAAGTCATAACTTGCCTTCATTTAAGGCTTTGCATGTCCCTCGCTGCAGTGTGAACAAATCTGTGGTAGAAGGTGATGTTGAGAAGGTTGTTGCCTCATGTACGACCCTTCATTGACCCTCCTTCGTCAACAACAACTAGTGAACACGTGGTGGGAAGTTGGCGTGGGGATCTGATTTTCTTGTTAAGCTTGTTGTGGCACGCGTTTTTTTTTTTTACTCAAACTGACTGCATTCAATCTGCTCAGAACCACTATCCTGATTCTATACTATAACGATGTTTGCAGAGAGCCCGTCCAACGACAGCCCAGGCTAGTGTGGTCGGATCATTTTCACTAGAACATCATGGAAATTACATGAAGCAATTCCCAAGACCATGAAACCAGAGAAT